CACAGTTGGCATCTTGTAGGATTTTTATGTCGAGTCATCTCGAGTTCCATCTGATGCTTCTGGATTCCACCTTCAGTCATGGGCTACAGATCATCAGAGTATTTCGATTACAGTTTCATTTGAGTTTTATTTACAGTGGTTGACTCGCTGTACTGAGTGTCTTTCCTTCCAGAAATCCATGTTCTGTATTGTGCCGAAACGAGAAAATATTCTCAAGTTTGTGTATCTTTATTTGTTGCTGGGATGACTAAAAATATTTGAGCTGGAATACGATAGCAGATGGAATTTGAAATGACTCTTCGCACACATGATGAAAATTGCGAAAAAATTTCTGAGCATTGTAAAAAAAAAAATTTAGGTCCATTGAATGCAGTATTGTTAAATAGAGCAGACAGTGTATGGACAGTTGAAGTTTATCGATAAATCGAACCACCCCTTGTCAATTTTTTTTCAAATCCCTGTCTGCATCCCCTTTGAAAAAAAAGCGTTTGAAACCTCCCTAACTCAAAGGCTTATTTCCCCCTTGAACCTGCATAACTAGGATTTTCTGGAGGCATTTGGGCTATTATTTTATTGATGCAGGAAGATAAATTAAGTAAAAAATAGAACCCAATTTTTTGGAAAGAAAATGAAAGACTAATTGAACAAACTAACCCTCGTCTCCAAGTTCAGCATCCTGTCAACTCGTTAAAAAAGTAATTTAAGGCCCAGAATACCGTATTACCAAGCACAATTTCATTCAATTCTTCTTCTTTTCCCCCAGCAAAAAATGCTTGTTATCCCCCCTTGAAACCTCCCTTACTCTTAATTTTTTTTCTGGTCCCTTGAAGTTCGACCTGGATGAGAGGTTCGAAAGTACTGTACAGAATTCTACAGTACAAGGTGGATGGGATATTCTGATACAGTGACCGTCAGTGGAAATTACGGAGATCGGTAGAAAGCTTTTTCTTTCTCCTCTCGTAGATGTCGACGATTGTTGGAAACTCCCGCACAATTCATGAAATCCCACCGCGACGACATCCATGAGAGAAAAATTAACTGCAGTAACTGTTTTCCAAGCAAGATTTAGGGCTTATCTTTTTCGTGGATGTCATCAGTGAGAGACACAAAGATGGGGAGGAAGCTGTTCATTTTGTAGTCTTGTAGATGTCGCCTCCTTGAAAAAACCGTCAGAACTCGTGAAATCCCATCGCGGTGGCGACATCCAACCGAGAAAAACTAACTGCAGTGTTACGCTTAATGTTTGTTTTAATCCGTTTTGTAAATCTCGTCTCTGAGAGGCCCTAAGATGGCGTGTAATCCGTTTGTTTTATCGTCATGTAGATGTCGCCTGCTCATGAGTGTTGAATTTCCTTTGGCGAGTCGGAATCAAATACGGTAGTAAGCCTTTTGTTTGTTTAATTTCAGGTGGTACAGACTGATGGGCCGCGGAGGGAAAGAAGACGGGAAACCCCGCGGGGAACTGGAAGTGAAAATAGGGTTTACTTACCATGAACGCAGTGCGGATGACGAACAGTTCCTGGGTGTGCCGGGTTCCGAGGGCCGTGGCAGTTTCGGCAGCCTTGCCGACGACAACAGCAGCACCTCGGGCAAAAAGAAGAGCCCGTCTTTGCTCAACGTGTCTTCTCACCTGGCCCATCAGTTTGGTGGGAGTCTCATGAACTTGGGTTAGTGTTTTTTTTCCCCTCTGTCTCATCTATCCTGATGAGGATGAAATTTCCCATAAGATTCCAAAAATAATTGAAGAGAAAAATATCATTCTGTGACACTCTCAGGGAACTTGGAGCTCGGTTTTTGGAAGCTGAAGAGCGCTATTCATCTCTTTGAAAACACAGTACAGTACTTCATCTTCTTTCGATTTCTCTGATGGACTTCCTTTTGATTTTATAAATTCGTGATCTTCTTGTATCATTTAAATCTTATAATTATTTCATAAATCTCGCAGTTTGTCGAAGCCTTTGTATAGGATTCCCTCACAAACGTCTCGCGTGCACCAAAATGTTGAAGCACAAGCATTTTGTTNTAATTATTTCATAAATCTCGCAGTTTGTCGAAGCCTTTGTATAGGATTCCCTCACAAACGTCTCGCGTGCACCAAAATGTTGAAGCACAAGCATTTTGTTGATCTGTCATTCATTTAAAAATTAAAAATCGAAATTGTCAATTTCTATGATGACCTTCCTTTGGATATTAAAATTCTTGATCTTATTATCCTTTCATTCTTATAATTATTTCGTCAATCTCGCAGTTTGTCTCAGCCTTTATATAGGATTCCCTTACAAGCGTCTTACCTACTCCAAAACGTTAAAACACTAGATTCTTTTTTAATGTTTGATCCATTTAAAAATTTAGAAGCAATCCCAAAACTGACCGTTGTCGATTCAATTGTTTACAAATGATGAATGACCTTTATTAAGGTTCGAGAGTCATTAATTATTTTCTTTCGATGGTGGCTCAGTCAGTAAGTAGAGTTATGTTCGAATGAAAACAAGTCTAAAATTCATTATTAATCTCCGAAGTTCTTGATGAAAGTGAGAAGCTTCCATCACTTAGGGAAAAAACAAAACCCCAATTCAAGATGGATTCGTCATGTAAGGATGTTTCCATGTTAGGTTTATAGATAAGTGCTGGATAATGAAAAGAAAAGCTATCGAAGGACGTGTGGACGTTTTAATAGAAGAGCGCGTTAATGAACGAACGAAGCATTTAGGAAGAGACGTCGTCTTTAGGTCATCTACCTTTTAGACGCTTAACAGGTAGATGGTCGTACATTGCAGACTAGCCTTCAAAGTTACAGCTCCTTTTACCCGTGGGCACAAAAGCAAAAAAATAAAAAAGCATGGTTTTCTTCGCGCATCATCAGAAATCCCGCGAGAGTTCAGACAACCTGAGGCTGTTGGGCTCGGAAAAGGATAGCATTTTATCGGAGAAACCACGGGGTTTGAAACGCGGGAAATTGGCCTGTTTCATGCATCGTGTGTCCGTGTTTGCAGGGAAAAAGGTGAAGCGGAAAACGTCGAGCAGGAACAAGAAGAACAAGCGCAAGGACTCGGATGCCGTGAGCGAAAGCGCCTTTTCCAGCAACGCGGACCCGGGAGTCAACAGTGACTCCGAAGAAGACGAGGCCTTCAAGGACGAAATTGCTGTTAGAAAAATCACTTTACTTCTTTTTCGTTTTTCACTTTATCAGTTTCATTTTCTTTTTTTCTTTTATTTTTGTTTTTGCTAGTTTTAGAAGTGTAAATTTGGGTTTTCCTGAATTTCGATAGAGAAGTTCGATTTAGTGCGCGGTACTGTAATTTTTAAATTTATTTGATTTGATTACGTTCCATTTTTCTTCCTCAGTTTTTTTTTTCTCCTTGAAATCATACAATTTTTCTAAATTTTTTCTAGAATTTGAACTTTTCAAGTACCAAATATCTTTTTTATACTGAATTTTATTCGCCGAATTTGAACAGTGAACAGTATTTTTAACTCATTCGATTTGATTACGTTGATTTTTTGCTCGAAATTTTAGAATTTTTTTTTCCATTTTTAGAAGCGTAAATTCGATTTTCCCTGAATTGTAAACGCGGAATTTGATTCGATGTACAGGGTTTTTTAAAGTTTTTTTTTTTTGGATTCCGTTTCATGTTTTCCCTCAGGTTTTATTCTTGAAATCTTATATTATTTTCATTTTTCTAGATTTTTAAGTTTAATTTTTTTTCGAAATTTTAATCGCGGAAATCAATTCAGTGTGCCGTAATTTATTTTTTGAATATTTGATTTGATTACGTTTCATTTTTTCCTGCTTTGCTTCTTGAAATTTTCGAATTGTTTACCTATTTGTACATGAGCGTAAATTCGATTTTTCCTGAATTTTAAACGCGAATTTCGATTCGGTGCACAGTTTTTTTTTTAATTCGCTTGTTGTGATTCCGTTTCATGATTCTTGCGATCTTAAATTGTTCTATTGTCTCTAGAATTTCAAGTTCGATTTTTTTTTCTGAATGTTGATCGCGGAATTCGATTCTATGTACAGTACTGTACTTTATTTCAATTCAATTGCATTGATTCTGTTCGATTTTTAATTTTTCGTCAGTTTTTCTTTTGGAAGTCCTGGAAGTTTTTTCTGGTTCCCTGCAAAAATAATAAGCCTTACGTAGTATTTCCGTCATAAATTTGAAGAAGAAAAAATGCAGGAATTATTCTCCTGAAAGCTCGGGTGACGCGGGAGGAACATCAGCTTAGATTTGAATATTTTGAACGACTTAAATAATTTAAACGGAATAAATGCTCGTTTTTTATCGTTTAAAATAATCCAAGCTCATCCATTATTTGATCTTTCCTTTTTTTTCCAGTCGACAGTTTCTGCTGCGAGTTCCGGAGCCGGTGGCTACGACGCAGGAATCCACTCCCATTCCGGAAACACGAGCAGCAGCAACAACAGCACCACTGGAAACAACAACACGAACAACAACAATAACATCAACAATAACAGCAACCCCGTGGGCAACGTTAAATCCGGGCCCTTACACGAAGACATGGCGAGTGACGCGTTTTATCGACGACTGGAGTACAACGATTTCTACGAACAGCCTCGACGATCCGTTGAACCTTCCCCGCCAACTACAACACGGGATTTCACGGGTAAAAATTATATATATATTTTTTTTTTTTCAACAGACAAATGTCCGTTTCTGCACTGTGAAAAAATATTTCGTTCAGTGTACTTCTGTAATTTTTTTTTTTCGTATATTTTATTCTCATTTTTAGTTCTTGTATCTCAGATATCTTGATATTCCACCTCATTCCAATTTTTTTTTTTGCCCAAATTTTTCAATTTTTTTTATTCCGGTAATATATTGTTATTGAAATTTTTTTATGGCTAAAAAAAAAGAATTACAAAATACTGAACCTCGCTCGAATTTTTTACATTTTCATTGCATTTAATATTTCGTTTCAGGTGCTCGGAAAAGTTCGTCGAGTTTCCGAGAAGAAGCACTGTCTTCGGGAAGTCCATTGGGAATTTTGAGCAATTACGGCAATAAAGAGCAGGATGTGAACAAGTCTCGGACACCGTCAGACTCATCGTCGTTCGCAAATCGCGGCGGGTCCAACAGATCCAACAGTGGCGTCCTCTCTGCGCGACGCAGCGAACTTTTGTCGTCGACTGGCGTGAGTGCTGCAACAGGCGGCGTGAACATCGAAGAAGATTTGGGCGGCCGAGGATCAACAACGGCGTCCGCGAGAAGCTCAGCTCAGCCCTCGCCTCTGGTCAAGAAGGCCAATGACAGAAATGAGTCCCCTGTGAGCATAAATATACTTTTTTCGTGTGTGTGTGTGTGCGTCAAGCATGATTCATTTGAATTTTCTATTTGTCAAAAAAAAATGTCGTCCTTATCCCAGAAGGTCAACGAAAAATCTTGAAAATAATTTGTGATACCGTCATTTTTTTGTGTCATTTATTGAGAATCGTCTTGCGGTACAAGTGGTGTTTATTTTTTTTTTTTAGATCAAGATTCTATTTAAAAAAAATGAATTTGCGTACAATGTTCAAGAATAACAGTTCTCAGATTTGAACAGATTTTATCAACTTCGGGTTGGAGAATATCATTTTTGATGGCGCTTTTGATATTTTTAAAAATTAATCATTTTTCCCATTGCTGAGTTAATTTCAAGGACCCTCTCTCGTCTCAAAAAAGCCCTTATTGCATAACTTCTTTTATTAGGTTATTCTTTGTAATGATTTCAAATTTATTTTTGAAAACGATGAAGTAAAATTCCTGCTGACCACCAAATTTAATTTTCCTTAATAAAATGATGATGTGTGTCGTTTTGAACGTGATTTTTGTGAAACTCCGCTGTGCGAACAATTCTCATGATATTATGTGAGAAAATCGATTTTTGAAGACGATAAAATAAAATTCCTATCGGCTTCAAAATGTAATTCGCCTTAAAAATTATGATGTGTGACGTTTTGAATGTGAGAATTTCGTTACGTTTGAGAAACTCTACTGTATGCGAATAATTTCGCATGATTAAATATATTTTCAAAACCGATAAAATAAAAGTTATATTGACTGCCAAATTTCATTAATCTTCAGAATAATTTCGACTGTTGGAATCTGAGACTTGCGTGACGTTTGAGAAATTCATCAATGGTGCGAATTTCCCTCATCAAATTCTCTTAATGATTTGCCTTGAATAATTTTTTATCATCTCTTTGAATTTTTTTTTACAAATTTGCAGCAATTGCCAAACAGGATAGAAAAACCTCCAAGGCAGCATGCCCTGATGAAAGAGGACATTTCAATGTCGACACCTTGTATCCCTGCCGTAATTTCTGGCAGTAATCACGGAGAACGCGACGGCAGTACGACACCCGGTGGAGGGACGCCGCTCGGGACGCCTGATGGCTCTCGCAGAAATTCCGCCACCAAGGGCACCAAGGAGCGATTCCTGCGCAAGTTCAACGTCAAGGAAATGCTGAAAGGATCCAGTGGTTTGTATACACAGTACTTCTTCTATGGCTCGTAAATTTGTAACTGTATCTTATTTCCTATGAGTCCAGACGAAGAAGGATCCCTTCAAATCCGTGTTTCTCTGTTGAACTATACTATAGGGTTTTCCGAGTTCATGTAATTTTAAGATTAACTGCATAGATGTCGCCTCATGCGTACAGGTTTGACTCTTGATTTTGGCGACACCTGACTGACATTCCAAAAACCCTGCATTAAGAGCAATTAATTTCCGTTTATTTTCTAAGGAGATCCTGTTGTCTAATTAAAAAATATACAGTTTTGTACAAAATAATATATGTCAAATATTTTCTTGAACAACTATAAAACACAGACAGTTCGAAAAGGAGGTCATGCTAAAATGCTTACAAGGCTTCCTGAGAAATAACTGCATAATACGGCTTGGATTAATTCTGTGGATTGCTCATGAAAACAGGATATATATATATATATATATATATATATATATATATATATAGGTTTGGGAAGGAATCAAGGGCAACCAAGATTCCTTTTACCTTTTCATTTCATGAGTCATAAACTTCGTGCAGAATACACTTGATAATATATTCAATAACATGTCATGAACATTTCTATACACATTGTATTCATCCAAGAGATATTTCATCTTGGGTAATGCATTAGTAGAGAAATATAGTTGAGCACAACACTCATCACTGTCAGCAGAAAAAGAAAAGTATGTGCTTGACTTGAAGAAAGGTCATGCATTAATGCAGGTAAAGCCATGAAGAAACCACAACAGGAAAACAGCTGCAGGGGAGAAAAAAACATATTTTTCCTTGAAGAGGGAGAAACAGGCAATTATTTAGCTGAGGAAAGAAATCCTCCCAGCAAGAGTTAATGCAATGCACAATCAAAATTTGACTTATTATTTGACATTATTTTAATACACCAATGGAATTATCCGTATGTTTTTCAGGGGAAGGTAAAGGGATCGAGGAAGATCCTGGAAGTGGATCCAAGGGTAAGAATAAGCACCATTTGTCCCACGTCGGTGAAATGACGACAGCGATCGAGAATGGAGAAGAAAGGATCATTTCTAAGCCCGCGAGTCGACATCCTCTGAGTGTCCAACAGAGATTCGCGAATATGCAGCGCGATGTGAGTTCTTCTTCATTGCTTGCACTTCTCGTCATTTTTTCCGAACGTATTCATGATGCTGATGTGTGAGAATTTGCCAAAATCAGAGCTGAACTGCAATTTAATCGTATTCTTGGCACATCAATTGCGATTAAAGCTTCGAAGTGTGCGATCGAAATTTCATCGCGCAGTTATTGAGCAGAAACTTTTGGACGCACGCAAGCACTTGAATTTCTCGTTGACTATTCTTGAACCATTTTGTACCGAACTGTCATTAAAAAAAATGTATCCTTCGTCATGTAGTATTTTAAAGGAATTTGCTGGGTCATGAAAATTGAAGCGAAGTTCGAAGGGTTCCACCAAGTGCCGCGACACCTAGCCAACAGAAGTAAAGTTGTTACGATCTGTTGACTTCTTTGTTACTACTCGGTGTCGTGATAGTTCAATTTCCCCGCGTTCTCTCATTCACTGTCGACCGTCGTTTTCTTTCCGTGTGGTGCTACGTTTTTTTTTTTACTTTAAAGATTCAATTTGCAGATATTTTTATTATTTCCGATTTGTCTCTTCTAGGACTTGATTGCTCTAGTACTGCAGTACGAATCCCAAGCGAAGCAACGGGAGAACAAGATGCGCGACACAGAAGAGTACCTCGACGCTTTGCTCCTTCGCGTCATGGAATCCAGTCCCTTGATCCTGAGCCACGGCTTCAGTCCTTCACAATTGAGCAATGGAAAGGTTTTGGAGAACACTTCTTGTCGTCAGGAAGTGAAGACTGGTCGTTTCCGAATGTTCTAAAAATACATTTTTCAAATATAAATTTCGACCCTCGAAGTCCTTTCTTCCTTTTTTATCGCCAGAGTAAATAATGTGGAATCCCGTTTTTGAAAAAAAATTTGTTTGTGGCAATATTGAGAATTCGTTCAATGGTGCCTCGGATAATGGACTTATTATAAGTCCCAGTGGGAAGTAAATTATTCACGAAAAAAAATGTTACCGCGAGAGTTTTGGACTTTAAAAAAAAAAAGACTGAGAAGCCATAAAATAGATGTTCAGCAATCAGCATAACTGATGAAAAAGTTGGAAAGTAATTATTTCATCATTTACGGTATTAAGGAATAACTAACGAAAAAACTTGTTTCCTCTAGATCGAGTCTAGAACAGAGATTTGATTAGTCAAATTTCCAGAGTAACGTTCCTTTTTCAAATGTTCATATTGAAGAACGTCGTGTAGGATATTATCCGAAACAGGGTTCACTATTTGAAGCAACAGCAAAATCAATGACATCCTACGCTATATTTATTCATGAAGAAAACATACTGTAGTTCTAAATTCATTATCCGAGGTATCAGTGCATATAATTCTCACAATTTTGCAAGGATCACGTTTTTTGACCAACCCGATGAAGTCTGTTATTCAATTCCCAAAAAGAGAGTAAAACCCTGTCATTTTTTTTTGAATAAGTGCCATTTTTTGCGTTTACTAATTGCATGTGGGATGAGTGAAGGAGAGTTTATTGGAGGATTCGTTTTCCAGGCTGTGTTGATTGTAGGAAACAAAAGAACGTCTTCTCACCGCCAAAAAGGCCAAAAACTTTGAAAACGTTTGTAAAATTCCTTTGACTTTTATTGAGAACCGTGTCCGTTCCACCCATTTTTAACCATGATGAAGGACGGAACAAGAATGTTATCCTTCCTGGTATTGTTCGGTAATTGATTAAGATTATTTTTTCGATCGATCGTTGCGGAAAGCGATTTTTAGCTGTGATTGGTTTTGCTTTTGGTGTATGTTAGCAAGCCATTTTAGTATTTTGGACGAATGTGTTGACTGCGATGAGAGATTTCTCTTCTTACTTTCTGTTGGACGAAATTGCTGGAAGAGGAAAAACGACGGAAGGAAAAGTACTTTGACGCAACGTTTCCCTGATATATTCTTTATTTTTTTCTTTTGCTGAAATGTGACTTGATTGGATGATCTTGCGGATGATGAGCTAATAAAAAAGGCGCGACTTCAGAAAATTCTTGTTTTTTGGATAACCATGAATGATAATAGCATCCTTGAAAATAAAGGGATGGTTCAGAGATTGTCTTACATATTTTAGCAACTTTCCTTGATTGCTGAATGCTAGGGATGGACATCACTATTAAAATTGCAGTATTGATGCTTAATACAAATACTGAACTTACCTGCTGAGTACCACTTATCCTTGCATAGGACATGCAACTTCATTTTTGAGGTGGAAATTGAGGGGACAACGCATCCCCATGTGTGATGTGCACCTTAGTTTTCAGTTAAAAATGCTGAAAATTTGAAAATTCCAACAGCTAAAATTAGAAATATATGCTCCATAGTAAGCTGCGAATTCAATTTGCTTTATTTTTTAAATTTACAGTATCTGTTTTTGATCCAAGGATAAATTGCACAAGAGTTGGAAAACTATTACAGGTGAACGTTTGTATCTGAGTGTTATGTGAATCCCAATTTTATGGTCTCCATCTTAAACAAAAACATTTGATGTTTGAATAAATACATTTTGGTCTAGTTCTTCTTTTATAACTTAAGTTGAGCTTATAAGTCAAGAATGAATAATGTTCAATAAATCACTGCGAATATACATGAATTCAAGCCATAAAATACTTGAAATGGTTTTGGGGACTCTGCTGAAGATCTGGGATTAGTGAACCAATTGAAAAGTCTTACTTGGAAGTTTGGGACTGTGGAAGTTTTTGCTCTATGTATATGTGTGCTCAATCAGTGTTCTGAACCCATGGTCTGCAAAAGTTTTTTTTTGCAGGCTAATGCATTTTTCGCAAGTAGCAATGACGGATGTTACAGTATATTTATTTTTAGTTTTGGCAAGACAATGGCAGTTAAAATTGTCTCATGAAAAATCTATTTTGGCTTTGCTCTTAATAATACTTCAGACAAATTTTTACCTTATTTAATTAATTATTTGAATTTTTGAGTCTGAAAAACATTTCTTCAAGCCCACCTTTCCATTTTTTGAAGACATTAAAAGCTGCTTCATTGGTTCCTGAATTAATTTTTGAACAAAAAGAGAAAGCTTTCAAATACCTGCCATTCAAGTGACACTTTTTTGAGCATGCAAAAATTTTATGAAAATTTGCTGGTCCTCAGAAAATTTAATGGAACTTTGCCAGTCCACAGAAATTTTTTGGAATTTTGCCAGTCCGTGGGAACAAAAAATGTTGGGGAACACTGTGACCAATAAATTGGATTGTTGAACCAGAAGTTGCCCAATTTATAAGGACTACAATATAAGAATCCGATGAACTATACTGTACATCGGTTGGCAGAATTCTGAATTGATCAAATAAAAAAGTACAGTACTGCAATATTTTATCAGAATGCATACTGAAAATTGTTTGAAATGACCCTCTCAATCTTTAGAGACCTCATTCATGCGTCAAGCATGTAAGACAAGTACAGATGTCGCTTCAACTCAATTTCAATCGCTCACTTGAGCAATTGTAAAGTACTGTATTCTTAGTTCATAATTCAAACTTTTATACTGTATTAAACTACGTGCTTATTGAGGAGATAACCGGTCTTGAAAAAGTTTGAATTCGGCAAGAAGGTTAGTGATGGGGACTGAAACGGTAAACTCAGTAAAATGACCTCCAATGACCTCGTGTCCTGAAGCTTCGGGCTGGGGCTAGCTATTGTGATGTCACCCTGAATGGTTGTGGTATTCTTCTCGGGTTTTAATCTTCAAAATCTTTGCGTGAACAACCTTGAGGATGTCGAACACACAGCAGTGGCAAACTCTTTTCACGTCTTTCAGGGACACAGGGGCCCTTCTTAATTAAATTCGTCAACCAAGAAAATAAAATTAAATAGGAGGACGAAGTTATTTTTTTCTGCTCGTTTTAATTTTTTTAAAGATCGTTATGGGGCGCTGAGGAAAAAAATAATTCGCGGAATTATTGCGTTGCCCAGAATGAACCGGGATTTCTGCAGCTCTATTGCGTCATGCGATGATATACATCATTTTTATTTTTACTTATGTAAGAATTCCTGCAAATCCGAAAGATGTGCCTTTCGGTGTACCTGTATTCAGCAGAGTATATATTCAATTTAGTTTTTAAGTGGAGTGTAAATTCAAATTCAGTTTAAAAAAATTTTACTCACAATTCAACTTATTCTTCAGTTTTGGGATTTATTTTTATACTGTACAGTACTTAGAAAATTGTATGGTTTCATTTCTGTACGCACTTAAATAATTATAAAATTTTAAATAAGTTGACTTCTTGAGGGTGTTAGCACAAAGTAATTTTTTACAAATGAATGAATTAAGATAGAAGATCACCCTATGATCTACAATATTTTCCTTTTACAGTTGAATCTCTCTAAGTCAAATACCTCCCTAAGTCAAATTTTTTCAAGTCCCCATCTGGATTCCTTGAGAAAAAATGCATTAAAAACCTCTCTAACTCAAAGGCGTTTCTTCTAAAACCTCCATAAGTCAACTTTTTTTAGGCCTTTAGGCTATTATTTTATTAAAACAGGAAAGAAAAAAAAAGCAGTAACAAAAGGAATTTGATGTGCTTTGAAAAGATATGCAAGTCTAAATTGAGAAAATGAACCCCAGTCTCCAAGTTCAGTACCTTTTCAACTCATATAAGAAGCAATTTAAGGCCCAGAATATCATTGTGTACAATTAATGCAATTCTTCAATGTTTCCCACAATAAAAATTCTTGATCTGTATTATACAGATGTTTGAAAAATTTGACTTAGGGTGGTTTTGATTTATATATAAATCAAAACCACCCTAAGTCAAATTTGTTTTGCTGGTCCCTTGAAATTTTACTTAGAGAGGTTCAACTGAACTTAGTTGCATTTGGTCTGGGTGCTCTTTTGTTATTGGGTGTTTTTACTTTTTATGAGGCATTCCCCAGAAAATGTTAGATATTAGACTTTATTTTCAGCAGGATATGAGAGGGAAAATAAAATGACTATTTTCGCAAGAAATCCACGGGTCATATTTTTTATGTCCAAGTTTTTGACCTTGAAAATTTATATGAAAACGCTGAAAAAAATATTATTTGAGGCATGAATCAAGAATTTCTTGAGAAAAATAACCAAAGCGCGTTTATGGACCGTTTTCCCGGCCGTTATTGGAGAACTAACGTGTCTGGTTTCGGATGTCGACACATGAAAGACAAGGAGGAAAATGTGTTCAGTCACTTCTGTATAAGTCGTCATTGATGTTGACGACTCTGTGTTCGTGTGTGCGACTTTGTCTGCCTCCCAGAATCAGTTAATCTGCCTTTTGTGAGTCTCTTGTTTCTCCACAACACTGAAGAACACGTTGATGCTTGTTTTATTTCCTTTTTCCATCTCATTGATGAATAAATCAATATTTTAAATGTGGGTGGTCCTTTTTATTTTGGGATAAAAAGGGCATCAAGTTAAATTTTCATAGGAATCTCCTTTCTTTCTTTTTGCTGGAACGAAAATCTTCTGAGGAAAAATAAACCATGCACCAGAAGTTCTGCAACATAAATGCTTTCAAATTTCAATACAATTGAGCCTCTCTATTTCAAATTTCAAGTGACCATAAAAAATTTTTGACTTCGGTCAGTTTTGAGTTATATAGAATTATAGATATTTGACTTATAGAATCAAGCATTTGTATTGTGGGAAACATTGAAGAATTGCACTAAATTAAACATTGTGCTATTTTGGGCCTTGACTTGCTTCTAAAATGAGTTGACAGGGCACTCAAATTGGAGACAGGGGCTCATTTGCCCAATTTAGTCACATCCTTTCAAAGGACATCAAATTCCATTCTTTATTGCTTTTTTCTTTCCTGTTTCAATAAAATAATAGCCTGAAGACCTCAATGCCTTTGTTGAGGAAATGCCTTTGTTTTAGGGAGGTTTTTCATTCATTGTTTCTAAGGGAATTCTGACAGAGACTTTAAAAAAATTAATCTAAAAAACCATTTTTTTTCAAGTAAGACTAAAAAGCACAAAAAATTTAGTAGATTAAAAAATTAAACTAAAAAACCACGTTTTGAAAAAGGAAAAAATAACCTTAAACGTCGTGCGCATCTATTTCATTTGTTTGGAGGATTTGGTCATTAAAGTTTCATGCATAGAAAAAAGTTTTCTTCTGTCCCCAGTTGGTACATAATTGATGTGGAGCAGTTCAAAGGACGTGCTTTGCTGATTCATGGTGCAGTGTTGCCAGTTCAACTACAGGTGGACTTTAATTGCAATCAATCAAAATGGACAATTCAAAACTATTTTACAGAACAAAAATAAATTCGTCTTACAACAAATACAGTACTGTAAAATTATTGCTTAGACATCCTCTTTATAAGGACCTAGAAGTTCAACTGTAATGGTATTTTAAAAAGTCTTGATATGGCAAACTTTTCATGGTACTGTAACACATGGGTTTTCTAAATCCCACTGCTTCATGATGTGGCAAGATTTTACTGCATAAAAATGATTTTGCAAATGAGAAGCAGGTCTTCCATGACTTTAAAAAAATTGCTAGACTCCTTTTGCGCATTGATGTTTCAGGGGCCAAAAGCAATCTGTTATGGAGCAGATATAATTGTGGATGAGCTGTTTATTATATTGATCAATGGTCCACTGGATAAAAAAATAAGTTCATGGAGCATGATTCTGTGAATAACACCATTGAATGAAGAGTTTATCAATATTGGAAATGTTTCTCTGAATGTATATTTTCTGTTGAGATGTTTTCCTTTCTAATTGTACTCATTTTATGTGAATTGAACAAACAGAAAGTTACCACAAAACAGACCAATTTGCTTCTTGAAACAACAGGATCAGCAAAGTGGTATTAAACTTATTGGCAGTCTCAAAAAAATTTTGCATCTTAATTTTTGCTGTTACAGAGGTGAAGTAATTTGTTCAGATGCGCTTTATGGCCTTTCATCATTCCCTTTGAAATCTATCATTTCAGTATTAAAAATTTGGAAAACTGGCTGGTAAATCTTTGCAAGCATATTTTAAGAGA